TTGTTGCCCTGCTGAAGAATGGGATAATAATTAGGTAAGATTTGTAAATGTTGACATTGCTGCTGCTTCCATGCTTCCTATTAATTCGTAAGATTGGTGAATGGAAATATACAAAAAAATAGCATATTTTTAGTATATAAGAATCCATGGTATAGAGAAAATCCAAGAATTGCTGCTAAGGTTTTTGAGCAATATATACCGTGCTCTGGTTTAGTTGTCCATGCCATTTTGAAGCTTGCAATTATGCCAAAAATTCCTAGGAATTAATTTGGAAATACTAATATTTACGTGAGTAATACTGACCACGATTATGGATTTCAATTACATTATTTTTGTAGTGTTCTGCTTGCTGGACAAGTTCATTTTGTAGCTAGCTCTATATGTTCTGCCTCCTATTTATTCATTCTTATTCGGTTAAAATTTTCAGAAGTCACTCATGATGGCATTCAAGGAAAAGAAATAGGAGCTTCTTAATTAGTGCCATACACGGGAAAATTCACCGCTACGGCTATAACTAGATTTCTATTGATCACTCTTGGGCTGCTGTTAGTCTCGGCATCAACATAGGCATACACCCAATCGGTGCAGGAGAGGAGACCTGCACATGTTGGTGCCCAAGAATTTTTCTGGTGTTGCAAAATCTTTAGAAGGTATGATCATCTAAGAAGTGCATATCTGAGCTCCATAATTTGTTCTCATAGACATCAAATCCAATTATATTCTCCAATATAGCTCGTGCTTGGTTTTCTTGGTTCTTGCCGTAATGATCAATTGATTATCCAAGGACCAGATTAGTTCCCATGGTTACAGCTTTGGCTTTCATATGACAGGCCTACATCAGAATCTTGAGACAAGTGGGATGAAGGTGATGCAACCGGTGCGCAGAGCTTGTTCATGCGACACTAGCAAAGCAGCAGTGCAGCTAAGCTCTTCGATCACCAACGGATGCTTTCATGCTCAGGTTCATTGCTCATCGAGGCTTACCATTGTTGAATTCTGCAGAGCGTGTCCTCCACTGGAGAGTAGATTTATCATGACCTGATTGGTAGGGGATTGGATGATTTAGATGTTTCTTTTAGTAATTTCTTATGTGCTTCTATCTTAACCACATATTTTTTTTTTTAAACAAACTATATATCTTGGAGGCATAGATTAAGTTAATCCTTGTTGTATTCAATAAGATAAGTTTGATCCTTTTTGGATTAAATAATATAATAACCCTATAAGTTTGTATCGCTCCTTTTTATGTGAATCTTCAATCTATTTTATTATTTTATACCGTGTTTGGTTCTTACTTTGCATCATCTAAAATGCTATCGTGGCATTAGCACGGGCAATATACCAGTGTGTGTGTATATATATATATATATATATATATATATATATATATATATATATATATATATATATATATATGCTTCTTGGTGGGCTTTTATTTGCGGCCTGCGACTTATGGTGGGCTATATGGCAACATGGTCCGTCCTGCGCGGTGGCTTAGCAGGCCCAAAGGTGAACGGGGGCTTTGCTAGGCGCCGCTGCCGCTCGAGCGGACGCCAGCTGCGGAGCCGGCCCTTCCCTTCCCCGTTACTCTTCCGGCCGCCGCCGCACGTCGGCACGTGGACATCTTGCCGCCGCCGCAGACCACGCGGTCGGTCTAGAAGGAGCTCTCCTCTCGTAGTGACGCCCACCCCCGCCACTTCGACTGGACTGGCTTCTGCTTTTGACGGTAAGGAGTCCCTAGCTTTGCTTTGGTGGATCATTCCTAGATTTCGTTTTTTGCGGAAGATCGTTAACGGAGGACCCAAATCGAGATCATTGGTGCCCTATCGTGTTGGTCCCCTTCTCTTCCCCATCTTCCTCTCCTCTTCTGCCGAGTGCCGAGCATCACCACCCATTTGCGCCGCCGGTGGAGGCGGGCTCAGCGGAGGTGCTCTCCTCGCCGGAGCCGGCGCAGCCCCCGGCCGCGGTCCCCTCCGTCGCCGCCCGAGCTATCCCGGCCGCGCTGGGCTCAATCCAGATTCGCGCGAGGAGGAGGCGCGCGGGACCGAGCTCGCCACTACCGTCGGTGAGGCGCCGTTCACCATCGAGGTCTTCCTCTCTCTCTCTCTCTCTCTCTCTCTCTCTCTCTCTCTCTCAATGTCTTGCCGCCACAAGAAACTGCGGATAGGGGAGCGGGGATGCATCTCCTAGATTTGAGGGAGAGATACAGGCATTTTGAGTAGTTACTTAAAAATTTTAGGTATTGGTAATGGGTAGGAAATACCTATGTGGCAGTTTTTCACTATTGGGAATGAGGCAAGTAATATGTTGGAGATGCTCTTAAGCATAATCCTGGGTAGTGCTAGTTTGGGAGTGATGGCAATCGTCGAAGTTCCAGTTGATTTGGGAGGGGTTTGGGTTCAACCTAGTGCTGCAACATCCTCAAGACCCACACCTGTCTGTCGCTCGTTCCCCAGATTTAGCTCTACCACTGTGAAATACTGTACCTTAGTACTGCTGTGCCGCAGCAACAGCCACAGCCGCAGCTGCAGCCATAGGAAACGAGCAGGTTGCTTGGTGTGGAGCTGGGCGGCGGCGCCCCGCTCCCCCCAACCCGCCATCCGCGAGGTCAGCGTCGTCACTACCCACACCCTCTCTCCTGGCACCTTTCCTCGTGCTACCTCGTTTGGTTTGCCACTGCTGGGTCATCATGGCGACTGTGTCCGCGGACCCCCCTCTGTGCTGCTGGTGCCTGGCCTCCGGATCGGGGCTCACAAGGGTTCCCCAGGTTGTGAGGTGGCGTGGGCTTGGAAAATTCTGAATTTTTGCTCAGGATTGGTGGCGGCCCCAGTAATTGGAGCTAGCTGTGTATGTCAGACCGATTAGCAGGATTCGACATGTTGACCAAGTGCACCAAGTGGTTGAGATTAGAGATTTTGATCGACTGCATTTCTCTACAGTACTTCAGATTCAGGCGGTATGTTGACTTTGCCAGAGTCTTGTTCAGTTTATTTAGCACATGCCATACACAAATAGTGATACCGAGGAACATTGGTGTCTTCAGGGAATTCAGATTCAGGTGGTCAACATCATGAATCCCATACTGGCTGCGAAAGAGATTAATCATTCTAAGCTTAATCTGATCACCCTTTAGACAATCATTTAGTGGCAAACCTTCAGCCAGCCAATAATCAACTAGTTGTTCCTTACTAATAGATCCATTGTTGTGGAAGAAAAAGAGTGCAATATAGAAAGCACTGTTTTTGAGTGTGTTTCAGCTTGTTGTAGCTGTATTTGAGTCAATAAAACATTTCATCACATCTTCATTGTTGAACAAATGATGTCATTCCTTGATATTTTATTCTAATTACATTTTATAGATTTCTCACTAAGCTGCTGCATTTGCTCTTCCTCAACTGAGTTGACAAACTTATTTCTTTCAGTCTGTGGCCTGCTGCCAACTCTAGCCTTGATTGCTTCTGATGGGTTTCAACTCTAGCCTACCCCAACTTGTTTGGGACTTAAAGGCTTTGTTGTTGTTGTTGTTGTTGGCCTGCTGCCTTATACTTGGTAGAATATTAGAGTCAAGCATCCAGCTATGGCCTTTAAGATTGTTTCTCAGTTTGTGGGAGCATGTGAAGCCAAGACAAGATGTACTAGAGTTTTTCTCTGGAACATTTTCTTTCTCTGCACATTTAGTTCCAGGTGTCAGTAAAAGTACAATCATACTATATGTGTGTAGTTGTAGCCTGTAGTTGCTGATGTCATCCTTGACAGAATAGAAATGGATCTTTCTACTGATGATGTATCAGTAGATGTACACTGCATATAGAGAAGTGATCATCACTGAATTTTAGACGTCAGTGCTTCTAGTTAAGCTATAATAGCACTGAAAAGCATTATGTTAGTTCACAGAGCATCTCATCTTCATGGCCAATGTAGCTGCTTGAACCAGCTTGTTCATACCCGATGTTCTCACATTGCTCGCCCCCAGCTTCTTGATCTTGCTATTGTTTGTTTCCAAGGTAGCTGCTTGAACCAGCTCGTTCTTTGGACTGTCTGCTTGACGGATCCCCTCACCTGTGCCATAGACGCCAGGCGGTGACCAAGCTCCAATTGAAAACTAAACATTTGCATATTCCAAGCTGGGAAAAAGGATGCAATACCAAAATCTAGCGGGGACAAACCAAGGGCCGAATCGAGAGAGAGGGAGGGGGTTGATGATGTAGATTAAGGCCATTTGGTAGCATGGAATAGTTTGTTTAACCCTCCTGGCAGCAGCACTGTAGTTTTGGCTTCAGTTCAAATAATTTCAGTTAGTGGTGCTGAATATGGGTTCCATATTTCTGGTGTTGGGTGTTGTGACGACCTTTGAGGTTGATCTGAAAGTTAAGGGGCTACTGAATGAGTTATTTTCTTCTCATGATTTGTGGTTACATGTGGTGTGGCATAGTAGCATTTTGAAGTTAGCTAAATTATTTGTTGGATGAAATGTTGATCCTGTAAATGATCTGTTATTGAGTTGCTCAAACTCCTACTGCTATCAAGCTACTGCTGCTAATAGACCTCTGGTCTGCATGCTAATACTAATATGCCCCATGCACCAAGAAATGCCTTCTGATGGTGATATTATCTTTGTTTGCAACAAGAAACACTGATGCTTGAACATCTGTTTAGTCTTCAGTGACTTCATGGCCAACGTGTGCCACATGATCCTAAATTCTGTCGCTACTCCCCTTGTCTACTTATTAAGATAGCTTGTCCATGTTCTTAACTATTTTATGTAAATTAATTAGGCTCTGTTTAATTTGGTGGAGGCTCTGTAATTCCTGTTTTGGTTCCTCTTGCTGGTGATTAGACAAGATAGTTCATTTGGCTGTTAAGCTTACTTCCTTGCCTGTTTCATCCGATCATTCGCACGTGGGCTATGAAGCAGCAGCCAGCAGCAGTGATGTATATGTACGTGGACTGGCGAGGTTTGACCCCCGGCTAACTGTGGATCGTTTGGGCCAGGCGTAGGCATGGATCAGGTATTCAGGTTGGACCTGTTTGCTGTGACCCTCCGCAACTGATGGGGCGGGGAGTCGAGATTACGTGTGCTCTGCTCCGCCCTGTTTGAAGCCCTAGTTTAACCAAGCTGCACAGTCAACAGGATGGTTGGGTGTAGGGAAAAGTTAGTAAGACTTTGGTGCTTTCGTGGTGAGTTGCTGTCATCATTTACATAGCCCTACAGTCTTGCCGAAATGGCATAGCGATGAGTTATTAGGAAATGGGGTTATATAATATAAGCTTGCTGGGGGTACTGGTCTCATTGTATTGATTGGCTATTTTATTTTTTTACCACTCCTTGTCTGTGATGAGGTTTACTGCTGTACATGCAGATGACTAGGTGGGATGAAATTTTGACTCTTCCAGTTCAGAACCCACCATCCTTGGAGTTCTCAGCAGCAGATATCTCGTGGTCAATGGTGGAGGGCTGGAAGGATTCTATGGATAGGCTTGCGCTGATTCCATATTCTAGGGTGAATGACTTTGTCAGAGGAGAGTCGAACAACAAAGATTGCCCAACAAGATTTCACGTTGAAGCACGGAGAAGGCGTCCTCCGACAATGAACTGCAAGCCGAAAGTTGATGGGATACTTGAGTATATTCTGTAAGTAATTTGAAGCATTACTTATGTTTTCCATCAGACATGACCCTAGGCTGTAGGTTGTTTAGTTGTTTAGTTGTCTCACCTCTTAAAATGAATATATGAATGCAGTTCCTTGTTCCAGATGTTAAAATTCAGAGTATAATTTTGAACTTGATTGCACCATTCCGTGCAGGTATTGGTGTTCTTTTGGTCCAGATGATTATAGGAAGGGTGGTAATGTACGGCCTAGCAGGCCCATCTCAGAAAAGAGAAAAACACCTGCTGGCCGCCCTAATACAAAGAGGGGCTGTGTGTGCCATTTTATTGTGAAGCGCTTGATTGTTGAACCATCTGTGGCTCTTGTGATATATAACCATAATAAGCATGTAGATAAGAAAGGCATGCCATGCCATGGTTCTATGGACAAGATGGCTGTAGGGACAAAGGCAATGTTTGCACCATACATATCTGATGAGTTGCGTCTTCAAGTTATGTCTTTGCTCTATGTTGGTATTCCAGTGGAGACCATAATGCAGAGGCATACTGAAATAGTTGAAAAGCAAGGAGGTCCATCAAATAGAGATGATCTTCTTACTCATAGATATGTTAGGAGACTGGAAAGGAAAATACGTCGTTCTGTTTATGAGCTTGATGATGATGACACTATTAGTATTGACTTATGGGTTGAAAATAACCAGGATTACGTGTTCTTCTATGAAGATTTTTCAGATACAGACACCTTTGTCTTGGGCATCCAGACAGATTGGCAGCTACAGCAAATGATTCAGTTTGGCAGCCATAGTTTAATGGCTTCTGATTCAAAGTTTGGAACAAACAAGCTAAAGGTTTGTCAATGACTCTTTTGTTAATATTTGTTCCAATAGTAGTTTAAAATTTACTCATTTCATTGTAGCATTCCCATTCACCATTTTGCAGTATCCTGTACACAGCATCCTTGTTTTCGACCAGCACAAAAATGCAATTCCTGTTGCGTGGATTATAACCCCCAATTTTGCACATGGTGAAATACATAAATGGATGGGTGCTCTTTATGATCGAGCTCATACCAAAGATCCTACTTGGCATTTGGGTGGCTTTATTATTGATGATCCCTTGGCAGACGTTCACACAATAAGGTAGTCAATAGTCTTTTTAACTTCATTTTACTCTTTCCTGGGGCTGCATTGCCTGACCATATAACATGTTTAACAGGGAAGTCTTCCATTGCCCTGTGCTGATCAGTTTATGGCGTATCCGGCATGCTTGGCATAAAAATTTGGTTAACAAATGTTCAGACATTGAGAAGCGTTCAGCGATGGCCAAACGTCTTGGAGATGCAATATCTAGTATATGCAGAGGAAATGGTGATGTTGAATTATTTGAAGGTTTTCTGCAAGATTTTATTGATTGCGCTGGGTTTCTAGACTACTTTGAAGCTAGATGGCTTCCAAGACTTGGTCAGTTCATGTACCTTTCTACTATCATATTTTGCTTTTCCATCTCTGGATTTTACTGTACTTGCCAATGGTTTTTAGTTATACCCTCTCTTAAGAAGTAAAGTGTTGAAGTTATTTGGTTGAGGTTTCTTGATTGCTGTCAGATCCTCTACCGCTGACTGTTAAATATTTTCCAGGGGCATGGATTACTGTCTTAAAGGCCACCTCATTGGCTACAGCACAGGTAGCTTCAGCAATAGAGAGTTACCATCACCTGCTAAAACTTCGGCTGCTAAATGAGGCAGATAAAAGCGTCTACTGGCGTGCTGATTGGTTGGTTCATAAGTTGGGTACAAAGGTCCATTCTTACTACTGGCTGGATGAATTCTCAGGAAAGAACAGCTTTTCACGTTACTGGAGGAGTGAGTGGAGCAGTGGACCAAACCCATGGTGCCAGGGAATGCAGATTTCAGATTCCAATGTTGTCATTGAAGGCAATTATGCCAGTGTGGTCAGCCAGAAGAATAAGGAGAAGTCCCATGTCGTACTGAATCCAGGTTCTGAGTTTGCGTTGTGCGATTGTAGCTGGTCAAGGAAGGGGAACATTTGCAAACATGTAGTAAAGTCAGCAAAGGTCTGCCGTGACAGGGGATTGGCACTGCCATCGTTGGCCATGTTCCACTATTACCAGGCATTGGCAAATCTTGTTCATTGTCCACCCAGTGACACTTTAATTAGTGACCATGCAATGGCTGTGGCAGTTTCTGTTAAAACACAGTTAGATGCAGTGTTGTGCGCTGTTAATGGAAGTTCTTCAATTAGGCCAGCTTTCCAGGATCCACAATCAACGAGTAAGCCAAGAGAATCTGAAATTGAGGAAGCCAACTCTGAGAATGGTGTGCGCAAGTCAATCCCAGCCTGGTGCTGGTGACAATGAGGATCAGGACATTCCAACTGGCAAGAAAAGAAAGTCAGGGAACGCTTCTGGTGACAGTGAAGATGTTTCCATATATCAGGACAGTCTGGCTAGCAAGAAACATAAGTCAGGAGAAGCTTCTGGTGACGATGAAGAGGCCTCCACAGAAGAGGACAGTCGGGCTCGTGAAAGTAGGAAGACAGGAGGAACTTCTGCTAACGATAAAGAGGTTTCTGCAGGTCAGGACAGTAGAGATCGCGAGAAGAGAAAGTTGGGAGAACCTTCTGGCAATGAAGGAACTTCAGCAACTCAAGCCATGCAACCTTCCGAGACTGAAACCAGCCAAGCAACCAATGGACTAAACAATGACAAGCTTAGATTAGCTGAAGGGGCAATTGGGACATGACTTTTCATGAGTGTTAGAGGTTAGGCCCTCCCTCCTCACTTCTGAATGCACCTAGAACGCCTTGAGGGGCTTGTAAATTTCGAGCTACTGAACATATGGATCAGATTGGATGATTCAATTGTTGAATTAACTAGCAACTGAGCTTTAAAAAAACAACTAGCAGCTGCGTCTGTTTCCAAAGTGTGGAAGGAAGCATAAATCAATTTATCCTTATGAATAACGGGATCGTGTAAATTATGCAGGACAACAATTCCAGTCTAACTGTCGTCACAACAACAATGACAAGTTCCGCTTTAACTGGCTGGCACAGTGTTGAAAACCTAATGACCTCATGATTTTTTTGTAAATGAAGCAATATCATATCGTATCATATGGTACCTACCAAATTAAGGTCTTGTTTGGCTGCACTCATGCATATGGATTGTTGTGAGCTTAAGTGTAGCCAAACAAGCCATAACAGATAATTCATGAGTTTGTGGTGCGCTCATGTAATTTTGCTCGATAGATGTTAGTTCAACTGTTACGTGAATCGATTTTCAGTCAACAATTGCAGTAGTTTGCACCTCAGTTTCTTTGTCAGTGATTTCAAGACCTGTGCAGGAGAAAATCAAGGGAAGCAAACCTAATATAATTGTCCGCTGCAATCACACTGTAACATTGCTGTGGTCCACAAATCACAATCACGGTCCTAGGGAACAGAACTTGATAAGAATAAGATCATCCACAGCCAAACTTGAGTCATGAACAACCACAGCAAGATCGCACATGTTGCTGCCTTGCTGCGGCAACAGCCCTGCTAGTATGCTACAGAAAGTTTTCGTTCTCATGAACCCAACTTGAGTCCCTAAGTTGTACCTACACTGTTGAAATTCTGAAACAGATCTGTTCTTTTGTGTCGCTCATTCTCACATCTCATTGCTTATTTATATGCAGCCAATCTAGTACACTTCTCCGTTCTGTTTCTGGAATATAGAAACCAGCTGGAAATCATCTTCTAACGAATAGTCAGGGTAAAATCTTGTTTCATTCAGAAAGAGTCCCATAACAACTCTTCAGTGGAACACAATATCCATACAAACATCCTAGACGAGTAGCCGTATAGCTCCAGAATTCACGAATCATGATAAGTTCAATTTGAAGCTCTTAAACAGAAGTTAATCCCAGACTTTACTAAGGCTAAATTAGCAAATGCAATCACAGACTAAACAAGGCACACCAGGGTTGTAGTCTCCTGCACTGTTTATACTAAAACAATGTTACTTACATTTGAAAGATCACTAGGCCGGTGAGGAGCACGGATTTGGGCAGGCGCTGAGTAGCGGGGGAAGGGGAGCTGGGAATTCACCATGGATCATCCTTGAAAGATGGGAAAGATATGATGGCATCTAGATCATACAGTCCTCCCAATTCTATGCTAATTTCTATTTTCCTTCCCAACTGTGACAAAAATTTCAAATAATTACATTTGAACAAGTGTTAAGGGCTTTATCCCAATAGGAATGGAAGGCAATTACAGTGACATTTGCATTACCATTCACGAACATTCAACAGGCAACGTTACTACATTTTCAGCAGCGTGGGAGGAACGCTATACATTTCCAAACTGTGACCACGGAGCCAAAGCCAATCTAGGGCATCACCTAGGTCCTGGCATTTGAAGCCCTTTGATCCTCGAGTCCTCTATTATCATTACACTGTTACACACCATTTTCTTGGTTATTTTCAATCTGGATTGGTGACAGTTTCAAAGGTCTTGACATGCTCCAGCAAGTTCCAGGTAATGACCTTGCTGAACTCTACGAATATGCTCAGTTATTTTCCAAGGAAGAACAAGCAAGGAGCTGACAGCTCCCGACACAGGACATTTTTCAGAACTTCAATCTCTATATACTAATCCTGCTTCCAAAAACGGGCTATCCATCGTGCCACGTCGCCCGTTAAGACGCAGGCCGTTCGATCTGGCGAACTTGCGATGGTGGCCGTTCGATTGCGGATCAGTTTGGTCTGTACCCGTTTCGTTGTAAACCCGAAACCTCGGGAACCTTCTTGGGCTCATCCGTCGAGCGAGCGGCGGCACGGGCGCCTGCAAGCAGCGAGACATCCCGGCGCAGGCGCGGAGGCCCCGGACACTCCGGTCCTGGTCATCCCGGCGCGGGCGGGGGCCCCAGCTGCCCAGAGTGGCGGCTCCGGCCACCCCGGAGCGGGCGGCGGGCGCAGGCACGGCGGCTGTGGCCACCCCAGCTCGTCCAACGGCTCCGACTCCCTTCCCATTGCCGCGGCTGCAGCCTCGTCCCTCACCTCCCGCGGCGTCCAAAATGGCGGGTGGTACCGCCAGGGCGTCACCTCCTCTTCAGTCTTCCCCCTGCTGCCCCCCCGCGCCTGCTTCGCCGCTGGCCTGGCGCGTGCGGGCTCCGCCGCCGCCGGCCAAGCGCACAGCAGAGAGTCCACGAAGACACGGAGAAGGCGTGCACTAGCTAGGTGCGCGTGGCCATCGGTAGGGGCGGATCTGGGCCCTCGCGGAGGCGTTGCTACCTTGCCTGGCTCGGGGACGACGCTTCTCAATGCCGCAGCTGTAGACTCCGGCTCACTGGCGCCCGTCGCCGGAGCTGGAGAAGAACACCGCGGATCAAACACACTCTCACAGAGAACACACGCGAACTCGGTGGAAAATAGAGGAATTGGTGCCACTAACAACCGCAGGCTTTTCTGACTCTTTGTTACTTAATATAAAAGACTGAATACAACGACCAATCGGCCACACACCGCACACATCACGATCTCCTACTTGCTCGCGCCATCCCACGAACAAGTTCATGCAGTGCACGGTCACCACTACGTGAAAACTGAAGAGCTGAAAAAACGGACAACCACCGCATGAACCAAGCATGTGTCTGGCTTACATTGACGCGCCCAGATTAGCTAAGTCCAGGCTCTGTTTATTGACATGCACATAACTAAGACTTGCTCGGCTTACCTGATGATGACGACGCCAATCTTGCTGCGCAGTTCAGTGAACCTCGTCCGCGCCAGTGACTTTGTCAGGACGTCCGCGAGCTGTTCCTCAGTGCTCACATGGTCCACGCAAATCTTCCCGGCCTCCACGCATTCACGAATAAAATGGAATTTAGTGTCAATGTGCTTGCTTCTGTCATGGAGTACCGGGTTCTTGCTCAAAGCGATTGCGGATTGATTGTCCATCTTTAGTAGCAGCGGCTGGACCTTGTCGCCGGTGATGTCGCCCAGCAGCCGTACTAGCCACACAGCCTGACACGCTCCAGCTGCGCCAGCCATGTACTCTGATTCGCATGACGAAAGAGCCACCGTCTTCTGTTTCTGGGACTGCCATGAGACTGGCATGTCGCCTAGGAAGAAGATCACGCCTCCGGTGCTCCTCCGTTCATCCACGTCGCCCCCCAAGTCGCTGTCAGTGTAGCCCGTCAGTGAGTAGCCCATCAGCTTGCCGTCGGGGCAGCTGAGCTTGGGGTAGCGAAGTCCGTAGTTGATGGTGCCGGCGATGTAGCGCAGGATGTGCTTCACGGCGGCGTAGTGATCTTCCTTCGGCTTCTCCATGAATCGACTCACATAGCCCACCGCGAACGTCAGGTCTGGCCTCGTATGTACCAGATAACGTAGACTCCCCACCAAGCTCCTGTACATCGTGGCATCAACATCTGGAGTTGAGCTCTTAGTAGAGAGCTTCAGCCGGACCTCCATTGGGATGTGGCACGGATTGCAGCCTGCCATGCCTGCTTTCTCCAACAGCTTGCGAGCATAAGCTGCTTGGCCAAGGGTGATCGCGTCCCCTGATTGCTTGACCTCCAGCCCCAGGTAGAAGGATAGAAGCCCGAGATCACTCATCTTGAACATCCGCCGCATCTGCTCCTTGAAGAAATCCACATCGGCAGCCCGTGCGCCAGTGATGATCAGGTCGTCAACGTAGACCCCGACCACCACGCGCGACGTCGCACTGCCCTTGGTGTACATCCCATGTTCACTGCTGCACCTTGTGAAGCCGAGCTCACGCAGAGTGTTGTCGAGCTTAGCGTTCCACGCTCTTGGTGCCTGTTTGAGCCCGTACAACGCCTTCTTCAACCTGAGAACCTTCCCTTCGTGTCCTGCAGCAACAAATCCCGGTGGCTGCCGAACATAAACCTCCTCCTTCAGGTCTCCATTCAGAAAGGCTGACTTGACATCCATGTGATGAACAAGCCAGCCCCTCTGAGCTACAACAGCCAACAACATGCGCACGGATTCCATGCGTGCAATCGGGGCAAAAACTTCATCGTAGTCGATCCCCTGCTGCTGGATGTAGCCTTTGGCGACGATGCGCACTTTGTGCTTGATGACGACCCCTTGTTCGTCGCGCTTCAGCTTGAACACCCATTTAAGACCGATCGAGCGATGGCCGTGTGGCAGATCGGTCAAAGCCCAGGTCTTGTTCTCCTCGATGGATGCCATCTCCTCCATCATCGCCTTGCGCCACCTTGCGTCACCCCGAGCCTCCTCAAAAGTGTTAGGCTCGTCATCCCCGGAAGCAAGGAGCAGTTCCTCGTCCACGGTGAAGTTCCGCTCCGCCAAGCCTGGAATTTCCACTGGCCCAAGCACGTTGTCCAGTGCTCTGAACTGGAGTGGTGCGCCGTCATCATGGTCGCCATCGAGATCTGGAGACAGCTCGGGCGGCGAGACAAACTCCACCGGCGTTCGAGCTGAGCCGGGTGAGCCCGCTCCCCCCAAGTCGTGCGCTGGCGTCTCTGGTGAACCGGGGCTCCCCCCCGCGTTCCTGGAGCTTGCTGGTGAAGCCATGTCCGCCGTGCCCTCCTGCGCAGCCTCAGTCTGAATGCCGCGCACCAAGGTCACAGTTGTGTGCTCGACGATGAAAGGCTCCGTGTCATCATCATCAGGCCCTTTCTCGCCGCTCCAGTCCCACGCCCTGTCTTCCTCGAACACCGCGTCCTGTGAGATGATCACGCGGTCGGTGTCCGGATTAGAACCGTAGGCCT